ATTATTAACCCATAGATCTTTGTACCACTCAGGCTCAGGTGGGCTGGCATGACCAGGCACTGAGTAGCAAGTACAGCTTTCCACAGCTGCTTCCATGCTGGAAGTACTGAAAAGAACAGGAAAACAACCCCAAATTCATTTTACAATCATTACACATCACCAGGTGCTCTCACTGCCTTCCCTTCACACATCCTTGAATTCTTTAATAACAGTGACACAGATCTGTTGTGTTCCAGAGGGGATCTGCACAATGCTTCTGAAAAACGAGCAACTGACTGGAACTCAGTGGAGGATGAGTCAGGGAGCACCTGCTCACACAAGCACCACGAGCACACAGCTCACATCAGAGCAGCCCAAGCTCTGCACTAATTGTCTGCTTTTCCCTGCATTCCTGGGGGCTTTCCCACTGCCAGTGGCTCAGAGGTGCTGGGTTTGCCCCAGCAGGGTCCCCACAGGGTCCCCAGAGGATCCCAGTGCCAGCACAGAGGGTGGGTCACACCTGGCTGTCCTGGCACACACCTGAGACCCGGGCAGGAGGAGCTGCTCTGCAGTGACTGCCAAAGGAACCCCCAAGGCTGCACAACAGATCATTCAAGAACTCCCTCCTGGCATCCCACACATCCCAGTTTTAATGCTCTGAGGTTTGATTTGTTTGTCAAGGCAAATGCAAGCTGGACAGAACAGTGAGTGGTCTTTGCAGTGCAAGAAAATCACAAGAAATCATCTGATAAAGGAGAATATTTCACACTTCTGAAAAATAAGCTTCCTTACAAGGAAGCAAATTAAAAATGATAACTTTCACTATGGCATGAAGAAAATGAGGTGGTGCAGTTTCCTGTTTCTCTTACTCAATAGTTTCATCTACACCACAATTTCTGCAAGAGCTGAGCAGCTCTGGCCACACCAACACTCCCTTTCCACAAGCACCATCCCAGCCCACCTGCCATGGAACAGCCATGGCCATGTTGAATCAAAAGCAGTGAAATAGAGAGTTTTAGCAAATCCAGAGCATTCTCCCACCAATTGCAGGTAACACTTGATTACAGATAAATACCTGAGAGTTTCCAGACACAAAAAGATTCCCTATTTTAAGGAGTGCTTCAATTAATCTGATGTCCTAGATGGGAATTGCCAATTACTCCTGCAGCAATGCAGAGATGAGCAGGCACTCATTGAAGGGATGATGGGCAATTGCTGACACTCAAATCCAGCTGTTTTAATAATTCTGATTGATGAGAGTTTCAGAAACAATTGTCTGTTACAAATTTGGATGTTATTATAAAGAAACAAAGCTACTGAGTTCACACAGATCATTTCCATAGTCCTGCTTTTCTTTTTAAAAAATTATTTTGATGACTAAGAATCACAACCAGACACTGGGATACAGCACACTCAGGACTAAGGAATTCAAGGACAGGATGACTTTTATTTACAATAAAGTGTAACACGCAGTGACTGCTGGGTGTCCCAAGAAACATGCATCAAGTAGCTGTAAGACACAGCCACAAAAAGGTACTGACACAGTGATATCCCTGCTGAGTCACCACTCAAACCTACAAATAACTGGGCATGAGCACTGGGGCTGGGAACTGAGGCAGTGAATTCACACTGCATCCACCCACCTACCCAGGCAACTCATCCAGCCCATGTCAGCACCCCTGAATTCAAAGACTACACAAATGAAAAGTGCAGCTTCACCATTCCTCTTTTTCCCACTAGAGACATCCTTGGGGAAATATCCTTGCATGCACTGAAACTGGTATGATTTCAATTCCACCCACATCTGGGCTCACTTGGGAACTAAATCCAGCACAGCCCGTCTTGGGTCAGCCAGTGACCCTGAACAAAAATAGCTCTGGCAGAAAGAAAACTGGACTGGGTGGAGCCCATCCAAGTGTAAACTGCAGTGACAGAGGAGCAGCAGCTCCTTCCCCTGCTCAGCACGAAGGGGACTCTGCATCACCACAGTGACACAACCAACTCCTGAGCAGGTCCTGAGCTGGGGCTCACACAGCTTCCTGTGTGTCAGAGCAAGAACCAACCACCCTCTGTGTTGGGGAAGATGAAACAGGAAAGCCTTAGAAATATGATTGTCTGGCAAAAGATTGTGAGAATATAGAAACTATAAATGAGATTGAAATGAAAGCAAGCTTTGAGATCCCTCAGTTACTGAACAACTGGAAAACAATGGTGTGGCCAGCTGAAGGTGATCCCCTTTTGATGGAACAACACCCTCTGCTTGCAGACAGGCCCAAGGGGCAGAGCAGACCCTGCCAGCTTGGCAGAAGGGGCCCAAAGAGGAGTTTTTAGGGTTTAAAATGTAACCCAGGATGGTAATGTAGTGATTCTTATAGGCTGTATGGAAATGCTATAGGATTTGTATCTTGTACTAGATTGGTTAGTGAGAATTAGAATATTCAACACAGAAGAAGATTTATTGTATTGGAACAGGAACTTCACTCTCTTGCCCTTTTACGCTCTGACGCTTTTACTCTCTTACCTTTTTACTCCCTTACTCTCTTCCCCTCCCTTCTCTCAGGCCTGCTCTGAGCTGTGCCTGGCAGCTCCCAGCAGGGCCCTGCACCCAGGCCCTTTGCAATGAGCCCCAAGTTCCTGACCTGGCTGCAGAGATCTCTCATCTCCATCCATCCTGACCGTGCTACCCCCGATGCTCCTACACCCTCTCCAGAGCAGGAAAATGTGAGCAGCAGGTGTTGCCTGAGTGCTGTAATTTTGTCTAATTTTGTGTAATTTTGTCTAACCCAGCAGCAGGGCTGGGGTGGCAGCCCAGGGCCACAACACAGCACCCAAAGCCCCACAGAGCTCAGCAGCCTCCCTGCAAGGCCACACTTCTGGGAAATTCACATCAGCTTCCCCAAAGGTCCCAGTGCAGACAGCCCTGGAGGCAGGGGATGACAGCACCAAGATTAGAAAAAATAACAGAATCAATCAGCTTTTGACAAAAGCTTGCTCTGCCCACAGCACAGACAGCAGATGACATTGAAGATCAGGCAGAGCTCACAGCCAGGTGGGAAGAACTCAAGTCTGAACTGTTGTCAGAGGAGGAGCCTGGGTTTGGGCAGGTTTGACCAAAGCACTGAAGTTAAACGAGGCCTCCAAGGTACATCACACACAGCAGGGATGTCCTGGCTACACCCTCAGGCACCATCAGCAACAGCTCAGAGAAAAAAAATAAACTAAGTTGCACATTTATTGTAAGGATCCAGGACTGCTGGCTTGTTCTTCTCATCCCTTCATACAAAATTAGCAAAGTCTGTCCCTGCAAGGCACCTCTCAATGGATTCCTAAAGGCAACCAACATGCCACGTTGGTTTTTAAGTTATAAATCCATTTCCAATACTTCATTTAGGTTTCTAGTACACATTAACCACAGAGTAAAACCCCAAGAACAAACTGTGACTCACAAGTTTGCTGCTAATTACAAAGATAACGCTTGCAAACCAATTTCTAATACCATTACAATGTCATGGAGTGTACAAATGAGAAACAAATTTAAACTTTTAGACACAGTGCAAAATTAATTTAGATCTGAAATCACGTTCAAAGCTCAACCATTCTCATTATGATCTTAAATTCAAACACCAACGCCCTCTCTGTCCAAACAGAAATCCAAAATATACAAGGAAAAAAGCATAAGGCATGCTGGTTGTTATTACACCCCACAGGATCTGAGCCCTCACCCTGCAGCATCTCAGGGCTCAGGGAGAGCTGTGTAGCACAGAAATTCCCAAGCACTCAGTGCCTGAAGCAGTCAGGTCTCAAAACCTCCACATTTCATCCAGAGGAGGCAACAATTGTGTGAAAAAGCTTCATATTCTCCTTCCACAATAGTTTGAAAGCTGCTGAGGGAGCTTAGCCCACCTCCCATCTATTGCCAGAGCCACTCTCAGGTGCATCCAACCACACCAGGGGCCCAACAAGTGCCTGATTCCAATACCCACCAGAACACAAGTGGCAGGACAGGAACAGGCACAAAAACCTGAGCAGAACAGGGCAGGGACACAAGCCAGCAAGTCACATCTTTATCCCAAAGGTTTCTCTTTGGCAATTATCAAATCCTTGCACAAGCAGGGGTGTAAGAGTTTATCAGGAGGAGCTCCCATGAATGTTTTATAACGGAAAGCGAAAAGCAGCCACAGACTTAGGGTCCCCTGGCTGTCCTCTATCAGTGCTGCCCAGGATTTAGTTGTGCTTGAGAGGGAACAGGCAGGAAAATGTGGATCTTTCCCATTTACAAGGGAAATAAAACCATAAAGATCACGAAATGTTAGCACAGCAAATCTACACCAGCGAGCGGCTGCAATGTCCCCATGGGATGGAGCAACCTTGGACTTGGTGACTTTTATTGCTCTTTTTCTTTCTCTCCAAAGCAACTTTGGAGCATAGGCGAGAAACCCGACAGAGGGGAGTGGGACAGGGTGCCCAGAGCAGCTGGGGCTGCCCCTGCATCCCTGGCAGTGCCCAAGGCCAGGTGGGACACTGGGGCTGGTAGCAGCCTGGGACAGTGGAAGGTGTCCCTGCCATGGCAGGGGTGGCACTGGACGGGCTTTAAGGTCCCTCCCCAACCCAACCCACCCTGTGTTTCTGTGATATAGGGGAAGATCAACAACACACTGTCTAAAAGTAAAGTCCTTAAGGTCCCTTCGCTCCTAAACCATTCCATGGTCCCATGAGGGAGGTGGGCACTGAGGCAGGTGACTCCGAGGGAGATTTTCCAGAGGGGGGACTCAGAGCCCCCGCAGCCTCCAGGGCTTGGTGCACCCTGAGCACCCTCACCTTTACCCGGCTCTTTAATTTCATAGGAAAATCCACACTTTTGCGCGGGTTTGCTCAGTCAGGGAGGGGCAGCAGGCGGAGGAGGCTCACGGAGAGTCTCGGTTCCCTCTCCCCCCTCACACTCCATCCCAAGCGGGCCGGTGTGAGGGGGAGACCCGCCGAGCGCCGGGGCGGAGGGGCCGCGCCGCCCGCCCCTCACTCACCGCAGCCGGAGGTTCGCCATGAACTCGGGCATGGTGACGGCGTCCATCAGCACGAAGTCGGCTTTGCCGAACTCCAAACTCTCCTGCTCTGCCATGGCGGCCACTGGGACGGCCGGGACCGGGCCGGGGGGCCGAGCTAGGAGCGGGACGGGACGGGACGGGACGGGACCCGGCTGGGATCACTCCCGCCGCTGCCCGGCCGGGGTGTGTGGGTGTCACCTGCGGCGGGGCGGGGCCGCGGCCCTGAGGCGGCTCCGTGAGGCGGCTCCGAGCGGCGCCCCCTGGCGGCCACAGAGGGAACGGAGCTGCCCGGGCGGGGCGGGGCGGGAGCGCCCTCTGGCGGCGGGAGCTGCGCGCTGCAGGCGGGGATCGCGGCACGGCTGGGACCGGGAGCACCGGGAGCACCGGGACCACCGGGAGCACCGGGACCACCGGGACCACCGGGAGCACCGGGACAGAGGAACCGGGATCCCCGGGATGGACAATGTGCCCCCTGGAGCAGGGGCTGCGCTGCCCGGGGTGTCCCCTTCACAGCCCAGTATTGGGTTCTTTGCACCCCCTGCCAGGACAGGGGGCAGATCCTGTGCCCAGGTAACCCCACCCAGGGCCCCACCCTGCAGGGTCAGGATCTGCCCCCCCAGACCCTGCTCACTCTGGTGCTTGGTGAAACCCTGGAACCCCCTCAAAATATTGCAGAATAAAGCACACAAAATATCCCCCCAGATCCAGCACTGAGGCCAATTACATTAATGATACTAATTAAGGCAATGGGGCTGGGGGGACCTGGGAGCAAACACAGCCTCACCTAAAAGAATTTTGGGCAAGAATGGCTGGTTTGAGTGTAGGAAACAGGGTACAGGTGTGAGGCCATCCCTGTCCTTGTCTCCATCCCTCTCTCCATCTCCATCCCCACCCTGGAGCTCCTGGGCCCCCTCCCCTCCCAGCTGCAGGCAATGATCCCCCCTGGTTAAAGGCAGCAGATCCCAGCTCCCTCCCTGCTCCTGGGGGTGAACGAGGCTGGAGGAGCTCTCAGAGGTGAGCTGGAAAGGAAAAAAAAAAAAAAATCTCCTAAAAAGCTTTATTTGTGCTTTGTTTTTCTGGTGTGTTTAGCTTTGCAGAGGGGATGGCTTCTGACTTTGTTTATTCAATGTGCTGAATGGCTTTGATGTTATTATAAGTGCCTAATTTGCCTGATGCTGATTATTGCCCTGGCAAGGACAGGGTGGGGGCAGCAGTGTGTTCAGCCCCTGCCTGGCTCTCTCAGCAGAGGTTTTGCAGTTACAGGAGGTGTGTGTGAGCCCAGAACTGAGCGATGGAGCCAGCACCCCCTGCCCTCCACGGCCCCCTGGGTCCTGGTGCCCTCCCCGAGCCCCCGAGGGCAGCAGAGGAATGTGCCTGGCAGAGCCTGCGCTGCCTCCGCCGCCACAGGCAGAAGAAGAAAGTGGCTTATTCAGCCCATATCTGCAAGCTCCTGAACCAGGTGAGTCCCCGCTGGGCTGGGGTGCAGCTCCTGCTCCCTGAGTTCCACCTGATAACCCCTGTGTCCCAGGCTGGGTGGTGTCTCCATCCCTAGTGCTGGGGGAATGTTTGGATTTGATCTTGATGGTGTCACCATCCCTGGAGGGGTTTAAAAGATGTGTGGATCAGGTGGGTTAGTGGTGCCCTTGGTAGTGCTGGGGGAATGTGTGGATTTGATCTTTGTGTTTTCCCAACCTGAATGATTCCGTGATCCCAAGCTGGGGCTGGGCTGTGCCTGCCGTGCTGATGCTGTTGGTTGCTCTCCCCACAGACGTGTTCCACGGGGGATTCTTGCCTGGTGCCTTCCCTGCTGGCCTGGCTGGGCAGTCCCCAGCTCCTCGGGGAGGTGGCCCTGGAGGCCTCCAGGCTGTCCCGCTATGGCAGGAGGAGCCACCTCGGCCACCGTGAGGTGCTGCTGGCCACGAAGCTGGTGCTGCTGCGTGAGCTCCACAAGCCTCCCCCAGGATCCTGAGCCGTGAGCTGAGGCAGGGTGGCACAGTCTTTGTAGTATTTTAATGTGGTTTTGGTAAATAAAGTGTTTTTGGCATTGTTTAATGGAGTCTCCTCCCTGGGCTGGCACTGCCAGGTGTTGGGCTGGGCACCTGTGTGCCCCAGGACTGGGTGGTCACACACACCTGCCCCAAGAAACACCCACGGCCTCTTGGCTCTGCCCTCGGGGGGCTGTTGGGCAGCTGGGTGCATCTTTGCACCCTATTTGGCCAAGAAAAGCAGAAGGAGGAAAGGTGGATGTTATTCCAAGCCCTGAGGGAGTGCCAGCCTTGGAGGCAGCAGCATTCCTGGTGATGCTGTGCCAGCACCTGGCACTGAGTGATCTGTGACCGTGTTCACAGGGGTCTGAGGATGAGGGAAGAGATGAGGATCTGACTCCATGTTTCAGAAGGCTTGATTTATTATTTTATTATATATATTATATTAAAACTATACTAAAAGAATAGAAGAAATGATTTCATCAGAAGGCTAGCTAAGAATAGAAGAGGGAAGAATGAATAACAAAGGCTTGTGGCTTGGACAGTGAGTTTGATCCAGCTGACTGTGATTGGCCATTAATTAGAAACAACCACATGAGCCCAATCCCAGCTGCACCTGGTGCATTCCACAGCAGCAGATAACCATTGGTTACATTTTGTTCCTGAGGCCTCTCAGCTTCTCAGGAGGAAAAATCCTAAGGAAAGGATTTTCCATAAAAGATGTCTGTGACAGACCCATTTTGTTTCCAGGCCCTCCACGGCGCCCCTGCACACACCAGTCCTGGGGATGGCTCTGGGTTCTCCTGCCTTCAGCTCCAAATCCTGCCACGGGCAGGTACCTGGCAGTGCCCAGCTATCTGCCTTCCCAGAGAGGGTTCTCAGTGCCAACAGCTCCTGGCAGCACTGGGGCACCCTCCCCTGGGGCAGCGTCCTGGCTGCTGAGTGTTCCAGGCTGGGACAGGGATGGATCCTTCCGCAGGGATTGGGCCTTGTAACCCTGGCATGAGCTGAGGGCTCCTTCAGAGGGAGGTGATGGCAGCTCTGCCCCCCCTGCACAGGCTCCCTGCCTTGGTGGGCACCCCTGGGCTTTGGGGGGACTTTCTGAACTGTGTGGAGGCACAGGGACACTCCAGTGACACCCACACAGGTACTGGGGGTCACGGTGGGCAGTGGCTCCTGTTGGTAGCTCTGGCTGTGTCCCCAGCTGCTCCTGTTTGCTCTCTCCACTCTCCTGGGTGCACCAAGACCCGTGCAGTGCTTGGACTGTCACAGACACCTTCTATGGAAAATCCTTTCCTTAGGATGTTTTCTCCTGAGAAGCTGAGAGGCCTCAGGAACAAAATGTAACCAATGGTTATCTGCTGCTGTGGAATGCAACAGGTGCATCTGGGATTGGGCTCATGTGCTTGTTTCTAATTAATGGCCAATCACAGTCAGCTGGCTCGGACTCTCTGTCTGAGCCACAAACCTTTGTTATCATTCCTTCTTTTTCTATTCTTAGCCAGCCTTCTGATGAAATCCTTTCTTCTATTCTTTTAGTATAGTTTTAATATAATATATATAATAAAATAATAAATCAGCCTTCTGAACCATGGAGTCAGATCCTCATCTCTTCCCTCATCCTCAGACCCCTGTGAACACCATCACAGAGGAGCTTCAGCTCAGTCCCTCTTCTGGCAACCCTGACTCTTTAAGTTGTTTAGAATTGACTCAAATCTATGGATTAGGGGCCAAATCCTATAGGAAAGTCCAAGCCTTTGTAGAAATAAGAGCTGTGGCTGAACCTGAGGACACACCCAGGCTCCTGCCAAGGCTGTTTTTACCTCCAGCATTCCTGGCTGGGGTCTGTTCAACCTTCCCCAAAAGCTCAGGGAGGGGAAGGGGAGGGTTCCACACCCTCTGATACATCTGGCTGGGAGCTTCATCATCCTGTTGGTGTTTTCTCTTGTGCTACAGCAAGAAAAAACCAAGAAGAGCATTCATTCAGTGCTTCTTGTCCCTGCAGACAGACTGGAGCTATTGCCATCTTCCTTTTCTTTATTTCTTATTTGGAGCCCCAGCTGCTGCTGGGAGGGTGACATGTGGAGCTGCTCTGTCTGGCTTCTTAAACCCCTGCAGTAATTGTGTGTGGGATCACTGCCTGGAAGGGAAACTGAGCCTGGAGCCATCACCAGCTCCCAGGGGAAGCAGCTGGAGCAGAGGAGATGATGGGGGAGATCACCAGGGGAGGTTCCTGCCCAGGGCAGGAGATTTGGGGCTATCAATGAACCTTTTCCTACCCTAGAACTTGTAGCTCAACTGGGCTCTGGAGAGGCAAAATATTGGCTGGCACAGGGTGCCCAGAGCAGCTGGGGCTGCCCTGAATCCCTGCAAGTGTCCAAGGCCAGGTGGGACAGGGCCTGGGGATGGTGGAAGATGTCCCTGCCCATGGCAGGGGTGGGACTGGGTGGGCTTTAAAGGCCCTTTCACCCCAAATCCTGCTGGGGTTCTGTGGTGTCTCAGGTGCATCTGTTTGCTCTTACTTCACCTCACCACTGACTCAGTGGACCCTGAGCTCTCTGGAATCTGTTCTTCAGGATCTTTATTTGGTCTTTTTTTCCTGTTTATCTTGTCTTTCCTTCCCCACACAACCCCTGCATCTCCCCTTTATTTTGTCCTGATAGTCCTACTGATTTTGGGATTGAGAGTTCTTGGGTAAGACACATCCTGTTCCCAGGGCAGGGGGAGTCCCCATCCTTGGGAGGATTAGGAAGCCCTGTGGATGTGGCACTTGGGGATGTGGGTCAGCGGTGCCTTGGCAGTGCCATGGAGAAGGGTTGGACCTGATGATCTCAGAGGGGTTTTGCAATCTAAATGTTATAAATGGGGATCTGAAGCACAAGATGAATCAAGTGACCTCTCAAAAGATTTTCTAGAGTCCCGTGTGGGGGAAGAGGGAAATCTGCTGCCACAGGGTTGGTGGAGCACAAATCCCATGGGCAGCCCCTGGCACAGCCAGGGACAGGCAGGGGCCCCTGTGCCAGACCCCACAAAAGTCTGTATTTATTGTTTCTTTAACACTTGCCCTTTCTGTTCACCATTTCAGCTTC